AGGTAGAATACACAGCTAGAGGTAATGCTCTGATTGGCTAAGGTAAAATACACAGCTAGAGGTAATCATCTGATTGGCTGAGGTAGTAGAAACACAGCCAGAGATAACATTTAATTGGCTGAGGTAGAATACACAGCTAGAGGTAAAGCTCTGATTGGCTGAGGTAGAATACACAGCTAGAGGTAATCATCTGATTGGCTGTGGTAGAATAAACAGCCAGAGGTAATCATCTGATTGGCTAAGGTAAAATACACAGCCAGAGGCAATCATTTGATTGGTTAAGGTAAAAAACACAGCCAGAGGTAATCATCTGATTGGCTAAGGTAAAAAACACAGCCAGAGGTAATCATCTGATTGGCTAAGGTAGAATACACAGCCAAAGGTAATCATCTGATTGGCTAAGGTAGAATACAAAGCCAGAGGTAATCATCTGATTGGCTAAGATAACAAACAAAGCCAGAGGTAAGCATCTGATTGGCTGAGGTAACATACAAAACCAACGGTAATCATCTGATTGGCTGAGGTAACATACAAAACCAGAGGTAATCATCTGATTGGCTGAGGTAGAATACACAGCCAGAGGTAATAATCTGATTGGCTGAGGTAGAATACACATCCAGAAGTAATCATCTGATTGGCTGAGGTAGAATACAAAGCCAGACGTAATCATCTGATTGGCTAAGGTAGAATGCAAAGCCAGAGGTTCTCATCTGATTGGCTAAGGTAGAATACACAGCCAAAGGTAATCATCTGATTGGCTGAGGTAGAATACAAAGGCAGAGGTAATCATCTGATTGGCTAAGGTAAAATACACAGCCAAAGGTAATCATCTGATTGTCTGAGGTAGAATACAAAGCCAGAGGTAATCATCTGATTGGCTAAGGTAGAATGCAAAGCCAGAGGTTATCATCTGATTGGCTAAGGTAGAATACAAATCCAGAGGTAATCATCTGATTGGCTAAGATAACATACAAAGCCAGAGGTAAGCATCTGATTGGCTGAGGTGACATACAAAGCCAACGGTAATCATCTGATTGGCTGAGGTAACATACAAAACCAGAGGTAATCATCTGATTGGCTTAGGTAGAATACACAGCCAAAGATAATCATCTGATTGGCCAAGGTAGAATACAGGGCCAGAGGTAATCATCTGATTCGCTGAGGTAGAATACACAGCCAGAGGTAATAATCTGATTGGCTAATGTAGAATACACAGCCAGAGGTAACCATCTGATTGGCTAATGTAGAATACACAGCCAGAGGTAATCATCTGATTGGCTGAGGTAGAATACACAGCCAGAGGTAATCATCTGATTGGCTAATGTAGAATACACAGCCAGAGGTAATCATCTGATTGGCTAAGGTAGAAAACACAGCCGGAGGTAATCATCTGATTGGCTGAGGTGGAAAACACACATTCAGAGATTACATCTGTTTGGCTGATTAGGTAGTAGACAAACAATCAGAGATAACATCTGATTGGCTGAGGTAGTAGACACACAGTCAGAGATAACATCTGATTGGCTAAGGTAGAAGACACATTCAGAGATAATTGTCAGATAATGTGAATTACCTGGTCAGATTTATGCAGCTCTCACAGACATGTAACTATAATGTAACAGGGTCTTTTTCCCATGGATGTGTAATGATGCTTTTATTCTGTTGCTGAATGTGTGAAAAAACAGGCACTAAGTAATTTGAGTATCATAACTACTGAAGTATAGATATTTGATTATACTGTTTCATGTTTTTTAGATGGATCGTCTTGCTGACCCTCAGGTTTGGCTGGATGCGGCTACCCAGATCTTCTACTCCTTCGGCCTTGGATTTGGTGGCCTGATTGCCTTCTCCAGCTACAACCCGCGGAACAACAACTGTGAGCGGGACGCCATTATTGTATCCCTCACCAACTGGTTCACAGCTATCTTGGCGTCCACCGTTATCTTCTCGGTGCTTGGGTTTAAGGCTACAACTATGTACGAGAACTGTGTAGAAAGGTAGGTTTCACAATAGCAGCTCTCAAAAAGGTTCATTGTAGCAAGATTATACTTTCGAAAAATATAACAAGGCTGCATAATGAAAAATATTCAGAAGCAATTTCTTTCAAATTTTACATTTCAAAGCAATATTTGGTTTCAGCATTTGTGATCAGCTGCATGGAAACTTTCCAATTTAACAGATATAAAGACTCAATCTGACGGTAATGTTACAAGAAATACTTCTAATGCACAGTTCAAGTTTTGTGGTTCAAGTATACAGTATTTGAAAGTATACAGTATTTGAAAGTATACAGTATTTGAAAGAATACAGTATTTGAAAGTATACAGTATTTGAAAGTATACAGTATTTGAAAGTATACAGTATTTGAAAGTATACAGTATTTGAAGATGACTAATTATCAAAATAATCAAAAAAAAAAACTTGCTTTGTTGTAAGTGTTCTGGAGTGGCATGCTCCTGCAATTGACATACAAAATATGTATGTTGACATTATTTCTAAAGATGTCAACATAAAATGAGAATATATTGATTTATTTGCAGATTATGTCATTATCATTAATAAATTATGGTGACATAAAGAGTATACAAATGTTTCATGGCTATTTGGGGAACAGTCAAAACTATCATCCCGAGGTAGGGGAAAGCCCTGGCAAACAGTTCCCCAGGAATGATCCTCGGGATGATAGTTTTGACTGTTCCCCAGGGCTTCCCCCTACCTCGGGATGATAGTTTTGACTGTTCCCCAGGGCTTCCCCCTAACTCGGGATGATAGTTTTGACCGTTTCCCAGGGCTTCCCCCTACCTTGGGATGATAGTTTTGACTGTTCCCCAGGGCTTTCCCCTACCTCGGGATGATAGTTTTGACTGTTCCCCAGGGCTTCCCCCTACCTCGGGATGATAGTTTTGACTGTTCCCCAGGGCTTCCCCCTACCTCGGGATGATAGTTTTGACTGTTCCCCAGGGCTTCCCCCTACCTCGGGATGATAGTTTTGACTGTTCCCCAGGGCTTCCCCCTACCTCGGGATGATAGTTTTGACTGTTCCCCAGGGCTTCCCCCTACCTCGGGATGATAGTTTTGACTGTTCCCCAGGGCTTCCCCCTACCTCGGGATGATAGTTTTGACTGTTCCCCAGGGCTTCCCCCTACCTCGGGATGATAGTTTTGACTGTTCCCCAGGGCTTCCCCCTACCTCGGGATGATAGTTTTGACTGTTCCCCAGGGCTTCCCCCTACCTCGGGATGATAGTTTTGACTGTTCCCCAGGGCTTCCCCCTACCTCGGGATGATAGTTTTGACTGTTCCCCAGGGCTTCCCCCTACCTCGGGATGATAGTTTTGACTGTTCCCCAGGGCTTTCCCCTACCTCGGGATGATAGTTTTGACTGTTCCCCAAATAGCCATGAAACAATTGCTATATTACCAAATACATATAAGTATCAATGCTGTGTGTAATGATGGTAATTTGTTTAAAAATAACAAAAAGGTCAAATAACAGCTTAAAATTGGTTTATTTTTTTGTTTCAATGCCAATAACAACCATCACTAATGATGATGAATATGAACAATAGAATTTTGAAAGTTGTAAACAGGAGCTACATAGTTAGATCTTTGAACAGTGTTTCTGATCATTGTTTCCTGAGAATTGTGTACAGGCTGGTCTTGGTTACATGACACTGGAACTGGCACGGCTTGAACATGTAAATCCCGTAAAAGGCTTAATTCCTGGGAGGATGTCAGCTGGAGAAGGTCCATATCTTTGATGTCCATATCTGTAAGCTCCATATCAATATCATGCAGTACCCCTGGAATAGTTTCAGCAGGGCCTGGTAGTACTGTCGACTATTTCGTACCTGATATGTAATGGGAATATTACGGAAATACAACTGTATGTTTTGTATACATTCATCCCTATTTAATTATTCTTTGAAATATTTTAATCCAAAATATATGGTGTTTTGAAGCACACGACCTGCCACTATTTCACTTGCATTACCTGACATTAACGAGAAACGACTTACCTGATACAGGTTGCAAAAGAATATCATGAAGTCAACAAATGTCTTATTTTGCAGACCTTTTGGAGTGTCCAAATCAAAAGAGTCGTAAAGTTTCTCTAAATCTGCCGGTGACAGCGGTTGCTTGTGTGTCACCTTTGCCTTTCCTTCTTTTTTTAGTTTCACCAGCATAGCATTGAATATTTTGTTTGCGCCACTGAAATCAGTAGAATTTACAAAACCTACACCTAGATCCTTCTCAAAATGTTTCTGTAATCCGTATCAGATTGAAAGATATGACTTCTTACTGTAAAGTTGTCCCTCCTTAGTCCTGATCGCCATGTAAAATTTGCTCAACAGACTGTTTAATTCGGCTTTCTCTATGCCTTCATCCAGTGGCCCATTTTTCTCGTCACAGTACTTTTTGAGAATGTTCACTGCCCCTTTTATAACATTTTTTGTATTGAGTGAATCCCTCTTCTCCAGCAAATCCGTCAGATCGTCCTCGGTTACTTCCTCAAACCTATTCGCCGTCGCGTCGTCTGCGTAAACAACACTGAGTCACGGTCACCGGAACGCTTGAACGGTGATTTCTGCGCATCGAATTCGCCCCGGGTTACAGTTCGCTCTGACCGGGAAAACAGTTTTGACTGTTTCACCCCTACAGCCGAAATTGGACAAAAGGCCAGAAACAGTCAAAAATGACTAATTATAATTTATATAGACTATTGGGTAATAATAGATATTGAGACATTTATCTCGTTAACAGTTATCTCAGCCTCTATCATGTTAACACTGGGATACCACATCTGGTAAATAGTTCCCTCAGCCTCTATCATGTTAATGCTGGGATACCACATCTGGTAAATAGTTATCTCAGCCTTTATCATGTTAACACTGGGATACCACATCTGGTAAATAGTTCCCTCAGCCTCTATCATGTTAATGCTGGGATACCACATCTGGTAAATAGTTATCTCAGCTTCTATCATGTTAACACTGGGATACCACATCTGGTAAATAGTTATCTCAGCTTCTATCATGTTAACACTGGGATACCACATCTGGTAAATAGTTACCTCAGCCTCTATTATGTTAACGCTGGGATACCACATCTGGTAAATAGTTCCCTCAGCCTCTATCATGTTAATGCTGGGATACCACATCTGGTAAATTAAGTTACCTCAGCCTCTATCATGTTAACACTGGGATACCACATCTGGTAAATAGTTACCTCAGCCTCTATCATGTTAACACTGGGATACCACATCTTGTAAATAGTTACCTCAGCCTCTATCATGTTAACGCTGGGATACCACATCTGGTAAATCGTTACCTCAGCCTCTATCATGTTAATGCTGGGACACCACATCTGGTAAATAGTTACCTCAGCCTCTAGCATTTTAACGCTGGTATACCACATCTGGTAAATAGTTCCCTCAGCCTCTATCATGTTAATGCTGGGATAAAACATCTGGTAAATAATTACCTCAGCCTCTATCATGTTAATGCTGGGACACCACATCTGGTAAATAGTTACCTCAGCCTCTAGCATTTTAACGCTGGTATACCACATCTGGTAAATAGTTCCCTCAGCCTCTATCATGTTAATGCTGGGATACCACATCAGGTAAATAGTTACCTCAGCCTCTATCATGTTAATGCTTGGATACCACATCTGGTAAATTAAGTTACCTCATCCTCTATCATGTTAACACTGGGATACCACATCTGGTAAATAGTTATCTCAGCTTCTATCATGTTAACACTGGGATACCACATGTGGTAAATAGTTATCTCAGCTTCTATCATGTTAACTCTGGGATACCCCATCTGGTAAATAGTTACCTCAGCCTCTATCATGGTAATGCTGGGATACCACATCTGGTAAATAGTTATCTCAGCATCTATCATGTTTATGCTGGGATACCACATCTGGTAAATAGTTATCTCAGCATCTATCATGTTTATGCTGGGATACCACATCTGGTAAATAGTTACCACAGCCTCTATCATGTTACTGCTGGGATACCACATCTGGTAAATAGTTACCTCAGCCTCTGTCATGTTAATGCTGGGATACCACATCTGGTAAATAGTTATCTCAGCCTCTATCATGTTTATGCTGGGATACCACATCTGATAAATAGTTACCTCAGCTTCTATCATGTTAACACTGGGATACCACATCTGGTAAATAGTTATCTCAGCTTCTATCATGTTAACACTGGGATACCCCATCTGGTAAATAGTTACCTCAGCCTCTATCATGTTAATGCTGGTATACCACATCTGGTAAATAGTAATCTCAGCCTCTATTATGTTAATGCTGGGATACCACATCTGGTAAATAGTTACCTCAGCCTCTATCATGTTAATGCTGGGATACCACATCTGGTAAATAGTTACCTCAGCCTCTATCATGTTAATGCTGGGATACCACATCTGGTAAATAGTTACCTCAGCCTCTATCATGTTAATGCTGGGATACCACATCTGGTAAATAGTTACCTCAGCCTCTATCATGTTAATGCTGGGATACCACATCTGGTAAATAGTTACCTCAGCCTCTATCATGTTAATGCTGGGATACCACATCTGGTAAATAGTTACCTCAGCCTCTATCATGTTAATGCTGGGATACCACATCTGGTAAATAGTTACCTCAGCCTCTATCATGTTAATGCTGGGATACCACATCTGGTAAATAGTTACCTCAGCCTCTATCATGTTAATGCTGGGATACCACATCTGGTAAATAGTTACCTCAGCCTCTATCATGTTAATGCTGGGATACCACATCTGGTAAATAGTTACCTCAGCCTCTATCATGTTAATGCTGGGATACCACATCTGGTAAATAGTTACCTCAGCCTCTATCATGTTAATGCTGGGATACCACATCTGGTAAATAGTTACCTCAGCCTCTATCATGTTAATGCTGGGATACCACATCTGGTAAATAGTTACCTCAGCCTCTATCATGTTAATGCTGGGATACCACATCTGGTAAATAGTTACCTCAGCCTCTATCATGTTAATGCTGGGATACCACATCTGGTAAATAGTTACCTCAGCCTCTATCATGTTAATGCTGGGATACCACATCTGGTAAATAGTTACCTCAGCCTCTATCATGTTAATGCTGGGATACCACATCTGGTAAATAGTTACCTCAGCCTCTATCATGTTAATGCTGGGATACCACATCTGGTAAATAGTTACCTCAGCCTCTATCATGTTAATGCTGGGATACCACATCTGGTAAATAGTTACCTCAGCCTCTATCATGTTAATGCTGGGATACCACATCTGGTAAATAGTTACCTCAGCCTCTATCATGTTAATGCTGGGATACCACATCTGGTAAATAGTTACCTCAGCCTCTATCATGTTAATGCTGGGATACCACATCTGGTAAATAGTTACCTCAGCCTCTATCATGTTAATGCTGGGATACCACATCTGGTAAATAGTTACCTCAGCCTCTATCATGTTAATGCTGGGATACCACATCTGGTAAATAGTTACCTCAGCCTCTATCATGTTAATGCTGGGATACCACATCTGGTAAATAGTTACCTCAGCCTCTATCATGTTAATGCTGGGATACCACATCTGGTAAATAGTTACCTCAGCCTCTATCATGTTAATGCTGGGATACCACATCTGGTAAATAGTTACCTCAGCCTCTATCATGTTAATGCTGGGATACCACATCTGGTAAATAGTTACCTCAGCCTCTATCATGTTAATGCTGGGATACCACATCTGGTAAATAGTTACCTCAGCCTCTATCATGTTAATGCTGGGATACCACATCTGGTAAATAGTTACCTCAGCCTCTATCATGTTAATGCTGGGATACCACATCTGGTAAATAGTTACCTCAGCCTCTATCATGTTAATGCTGGGATACCACATCTGGTAAATAGTTACCTCAGCCTCTATCATGTTAATGCTGGGATACCACATCTGGTAAATAGTTACCTCAGCCTCTATCATGTTAATGCTGGGATACCACATCTGGTAAATAGTTACCTCAGCCTCTATCATGTTAATGCTGGGATACCACATCTGGTAAATAGTTACCTCAGCCTCTATCATGTTAATGCTGGGATACCACATCTGGTAAATAGTTACCTCAGCCTCTATCATGTTAATGCTGGGATACCACATCTGGTAAATAGTTACCTCAGCCTCTATCATGTTAATGCTGGGATACCACATCTGGTAAATAGTTACCTCAGCCTCTATCATGTTAATGCTGGGATACCACATCTGGTAAATAGTTACCTCAGCCTCTATCATGTTAATGCTGGGATACCACATCTGGTAAATAGTTACCTCAGCCTCTATCATGTTAATGCTGGGATACCACATCTGGTAAATAGTTACCTCAGCCTCTATCATGTTAATGCTGGGATACCACATCTGGTAAATAGTTACCTCAGCCTCTATCATGTTAATGCTGGGATACCACATCTGGTAAATAGTTACCTCAGCCTCTATCATGTTAATGCTGGGATACCACATCTGGTAAATAGTTACCTCAGCCTCTATCATGTTAATGCTGGGATACCACATCTGGTAAATAGTTACCTCAGCCTCTATCATGTTAATGCTGGGATACCACATCTGGTAAATAGTTACCTCAGCCTCTATCATGTTAATGCTGGGATACCACATCTGGTAAATAGTTACCTCAGCCTCTATCATGTTAATGCTAGGATACCACATCTGGTAAATAGTTACCTCAGCCTCTATTATGTTTACACTGGGATACCACATCTGATAAATAGTTACCTCAGCCTCTATCATGTTAATGCTTGGATACCACATCTGGTAAATAGTTATCTCAGCCTCTATCATGTTAATGCTGGGAGACCACATCTGGTAAATAGTTACCTCAGCCTCTATCTTGTTAATGCTTGGATACCACATCTGGTAAATAGTTACCCCAGCCTCTATCATGTTAATGCTGGGATACCACATCTGATAAATAGTTACCTCAGCCTCTATTATGTTTACACTGGGATACCACATCTGATCAATAGTTACCTCAGCCTCTATCATGTTAATGCTAGGATACCACATCCGGTAAATAGTTACCTCAGCCTCTATTATGTTTACACTGGGATACCACATCTGATAAATAGTTACCTCAGCCTCTATTATGTTTACACTGGGATACCACATCTGATCAATAGTTACCTCAGCCTCTATCATGTTAATGCTAGGATAGCACATCTGGTAAATAGTTACCTCAGCCTCTATTACGTTAACACTGGGATACCACATCTGGTAATTAGTTACCTCAGCCTCTATTATGTTAACACGGGGATACCACATCTGGTAAATAATTACCTCAGCTTCGATCATGTTAATGCTGGGATACCACATCTGGTAAATAGTTACCTGAGCCTCTATCATGTTAACGCTGGGATACCACATCGGGTAAATAGTTACCTCAGCCTCTATTATGTTAACACTGGGATACCACATCTGGTAATTAGTTACCTCAGCCTCTATTATGTTAACACGGGGATACCACATCTGGTAAATAATTACCTCAGCTTCGATCATGTTAATGCTGGGATACCACATCTGGTAAATAGTTACCTGAGCCTCTATCATGTTAACGCTGGGATACCACATCTGGTAAATAGTTACCTCAGCCTCTATTATGTTTATACTGGGATACCACATCTGATAAATAGTTACCTCAGCCTCTATCATGTTAATGCTTGGATACCACATCTATTTGCCACTTATTTTGAATATAGTTACATTATAGACATATCAAACCAAAAACGACGTGTATTGATGAGCAGACGTTATTTATTTAAGCTATGAGTGCATCACTTGATAAATTCTTGGAAAAGGATTGGTTAACAATCCCAGTTTTACTTTGCATAACCAAGTAGCAAGTCAATGACACACCCAAGTCAATGTCACACCCAAGTCAATGTCACACCCAAGTCAATGTCACATCCAAGTCAATGTCACACCCTAGTCGATGTCACACCCTAGTCAATGTCACACCCAAGTCAATGTCACACCCTAGTCAATGTCACACCCAAGTCAATGTCACAGCCAAGTCAATGTCACATCCAAATCAATGTCACACCCAAGTCAATGTCACACCCAAGTCAATGTCACACCCTAGTCAATGTCACACCCTAGTCAATGTCACACCCTAGTCAATGTCACACCCTAGTCAATGTCACATTCTATTAAATGTCACACCCCTGTCATACCACACCCTAGTCAATGTCACACCCATGTCAATGTCACACCCTAGTCAATGTCACACCCTAGTCAATGTCAAACCCCAGTCATACCACACCCTAGTCAATGTCACACCCATGTCAATGTCACACCCTAGTCAATGTCACACCCAAGCATTAAAAAGACAAAAAGCTAAGTTACCTACGTATTTGATAATTATCTATGAAAATATGATATGTTGACATTTTTTTAATAAAAATCAAAGTGTGTATCTATCTGACAGATTGTTTTTGGGTTTTTTCCCTTAGGAATATGGAGAAGCTAATCGATATGTACCCAGAATGGAACGCGACGACACTAACCATGGATGTATATAAAAGTCATTTTGAAAACAATGAATCTTTAATGAATTCCACACTTGCACATTTCCGACATTGTGATTTCCACGAGGATCTTGATAAGGTGAGTGTTTTTGCTACTGAGGTGGTTGCACATTCCACAAAAAAGTGACAAAAAGTGCAGGCTTCAGAATTCTGATCAGGTGCTCATTGATTTTAAAGCTTGTACCTATAGAAGGTAATGTTGGTATTTAAGCTCATTATACACAAAAATCTTCTGAGTGTTATTTTAAATGTTGCTTTTAGTACAGGGATGATACAGAAATACTCAATTAAGCAATTGATAATTCAATATTTTTATTATTAAAAAAAGTTGATTAATTTTTTAAAAGGTATGCAGGTCTACATTTGCAAAATTTAAATACTGTCACAATCATATGTGTGTTATATGTGTTGATTTTGGATAATGAAGTGTACTGGGGTGATTTAAACAGCAATTAAGTGTTGGAGTGTCATGGAATGTAATACAAACATTGATTATGAATCATGTTGACTGTAATTCTTATTTACCCCTATAAGTAGCTATTTAGAGTAATTGAGTAACATAATATGTCTGTTGCTATCCCATCGTTTTGGTAGATTTCGACTTCAGAAATATGAAGTCTTAATAGTAACCTTCACATCAAGGATCATGGACTGGTAGAGATGAGACGCTAGTGTGGACACACTGATAGAGATGAGACACTAGTGTGGAAACTGGTAGAGATAAGACACTAGTGTGGACACACTGATAGAGATGAGACACTAGTGTGGGAACTGGTAGAGATAAGACACTAGTGTGGACACACGGATAGAGATGAGACACTAGTGTGGAAACTGGTATAGATAAGACACTAGTGTGGACACACTGGTAGGGATAAGACTCTAGTGTGGACACACTGGTAGAGATAAGACACAAGTGTGGACACACTGGTAGAGATAAGACACTATTGTGGACACACTGGTAGAGATAAGACACTAGTGTGGACACAATGGTAGAGATAAGACACTAGTGTGGACACACTGGTAGGGATAAGACTCTAGTGTGGACACACTGGTAGAGATAAGACACTAGTGTGGACACAATGGTAGAGATAAGACACTAGTGTGGACACACGGATAGAGATGAGACACTAGTGTGGAAACTGGTAGAGATAAGAGACTAGTGTGGACACACTGGTAGAGATAAGACACTAGTGTGGACACACGGATAGAGATGAGACACTAGTGTGGACACACTAGTAGAAATGAGATACTAGTTTGGACACTGGTAGAGTTAAGACCCTAGTGTGGACACTGGCAGAGATAAGACACAAGTGTGGAAACTGGTAGAGATAAGACACTAGTGTGGACACAATGGTAGAGATAAGACACTAGTGTGGACACACGGATAGAGATGAGACACTAGTGTGGAAACTGGTAGGGATAAGACACTAGTGTGGACACACTGGTAGAGATGAGACACTAGTGTGGAAACTGGTATAGATAAGACACTAGTGTGGACACACTGGTAGAGATGAGACACTAGTGTGGAAACTGGTAGAGATAAGACACTAGTGTGGACACACGGATAGAGATGAGACACTAGTGTGGACACACTGATAGAGATGATACACTAGTGTGAACACACTGATAGAGATGAGACACTAGTGTGGAAACTGGTATAGATAAGACACTAGTGTGGACACACTGGTAGGGATAAGACTCTAGTGTGGACACACTGGTAGAGATAAGACACAAGTGTGGACACACTGGTAGAGATAAGACACTAGTGTGGAAACTGGGAGAGATAAGACACTAGTGTGGACACACTGGTAGGGATAAGACTCTAGTGTGGACACACTGGTAGAGATAAGACACTAGTGTGGACACAATGGTAGAGATAAGACACTAGTGTGGACACACTGATAGAGATGAGACCCTAGTATGGGAACTGATAGATGAAACTGATAGAGAACTGATAGAGATGAGACACTAGTGTGGACACACTAGTAGAAATGAGATACTAGTTTGGACACTGGTAGAGTTAAGACCCTAGTGTGGACACTGGCAGAGATAAGACACAAGTGTGGAAACTGGTAGAGATAAGACACTAGTGTGGGCACTGGTAGAGATAAGACACTAGTTTGGACACTGGTAGAGATAAGACACTAGTGTGGACACACTGGTAGAGATAAGACACTAGTTTGGACACTGGTAGAGTTAAGACACTAGTGTGGATACTGGCAGAGATAAGACACTAGTGTGGAAACTGGTAGAGATAAGACACTAGTGGACCCACTGGTAGATATCAGACAATAGTAGGGACACAGGTGCCTATAAGACACTAGTGTGGACACACTGGTCCCAGGGAGATATGGGATGCTAGGTCTGCTACAGACACGTTTTGAACAGTCCAAGGGAGATATGGGATTCTAGGTCTGCTACAGACAGGTTTAGGACAGTCCCAGGGAGATATGGGATGCTAGGTCTGCTACAGACACGTTTTGAACAGTCCAAGGGAGATATGGGGTTCTAGGTCTGCTACAGACAGGTTTTGGACAGTCCCAGTGAGATATGGGGTTGTAGGTCTGCTACAGACACGTTTTAGACAGTCCCAGGGAAATATGGGATTCTAGGTCTGCCACAGACAGGTTTTGGACAGTCCCAGGGAGATATGGGATCCTAGGTCTGCTACAGACATTTTTTGGAAAGTCCCAGGGAGATATGGGATGCTAGGTCTGCTACAGACATGTTTTGGAAAGTCCCACGGAGATATGGGATCCTAGGTCTGCTACAGACACGTTTTGGGCAGTCCCAGGGAGATATGGGATCCTAGGTCTGCTACAGACACGTTTTGGAAAGTCCCAGGGAGATATGGGATCCTAGGTCTGCTACAGACCCGTTTTGGACAGTCCCAGGGAGATATGGGATGCTAGGTCTGCTACAGACATGTTTTGGAAAGGCCCAGGGAGATATGGGATGCTAGGTCTGCTACAGACATGTTTTGGAAAGGCCCAGGGAGATATGGGATGCTAGGTCTGCTACAGACATGTTTTGGAAAGTCCCACGGAGATATGGGATCCTAGGTCTGCTACAGACACGTTTTGGGCAGTCCCAGGGAGATATGGGATCCTAGGTCTGCTTCAGACACGTTTTGGACAGTCCCAGGGAGATATGGGATGCTAGGTCTGCTACAGACATGTTTTGGAAAGGCCCAGGGAGATATGGGATGCTAGGTCTGCTACATGCATGTTTTGGAAAGTCCCAGGGAGATATGGGATCCTAGGTCTGCTACAGACACGTTTTGGGCAGTCCCAGGGAGATATGGGATCCTAGGTCTGCTACAGACAGGTTTAGGACAGTCCCAGGGAGATATGGGATCCTAGGTCTGCTTCAGACACGTTTTGGACAGTCCCAGGGAGATATGGGATCGTAGGTCTGCTACAGACATTTTTTGGAAAGTCCCAGGGAGATGTGGGATGCTAGGTCTGCTACAGACATGTTTTGGACAGTCCCAGGGAGATATGGGATGCTAGGTCTGCTACAGACATGTTTTGGAAAGGCCCAGGGAGATATGGGATGCTAGGTCTGCTACAGACACGTTTTGGACAGACCCAGGGATACATGGGATGCTAGGTCTGCTACAGACACGTTTTGGACAGTCCCAGGTGGCTTTCTTTGTGTCCTAATTAAACTCTGGTTATTTATGTCAGTCTTAGCTCAATCAATTCATTACCAAGCTATTTTTAGATATAGGCATGCTAGATTGTCATCAGACTTACAGCACTTTTCCCTTTTAAGATGGTGTTTGACAGATCAATTTGTAAAACTGTCTGACATGTAAGTTACGATTTCTTTCATGACTCCTACATGATGTAGGCTAGTCTCATACACATGTCTGTTTGTCACGACATAATTTAGATGTCAAAACAATACTTTGATTGTTGATGTCGTTTGTATTTGTGGCTAATTATGTGTAGACAGACAGAAATAAAAGTATTCTATATATATATATGTCTTTAACAGCAAAAACCACAGTCAAAGAAGTGTCATTGATGATGCCTGAATTACAAGTCATCTAAAGTACTGGAGAAATACCATCTGTTATTTATCAGGTTCTTATTCCTCCAAGACATCATACAAAGTTTAAACTTTGTGTTTGGGTATTCCTGGTGGATGCAACAAACCTTATTGATCTTGGGTTTAGACTGCCAGAGGTCAAGGTCCCTGTTGATAAAAATAGAATTCTCCTTGATTGCACTTGTCTAGATGATAACAAAAGAATGAATAATCNGGGGGGGGTACCTTAATGGATGGGAAGAACCCTATTTTTGGGCATAGTCTGCCTGAGGTCAAGGTCAATATTGCTAAAAATAGAGTTGTGCTTCATTGCATTTGTCCGGATGTTAACTTAGTAATTATGAAAGACTATACAAAGTTAAAACTTGGTTGGTTAGTTTGGTGTGTTAGTTTCAAGGTCACAAGGGTCTTTTGGTCATAACTTCAAATTGTTGAGGTCTCCATCCTATTATAATACACTTGTATATTATGTTGTTGCTTGCTATGAAGGAAAGGATTAGCCCTGGGGAAAACCCCACCCCTAAGGACTTAAACATGTGGTCATGACATGGGAAATATAAGGATTACCACTTTGTAGCCTGTGAATCAATTTGCCATTTAAAGCAAGGGTATGTCTTGCTGGATGCTGAGCCCAAAAAGGGTAAATATTTGCAGTATATTACTGTTAATGAGAATATTGCTGCATGATTGCTTAAACATCAGGTGAGCTGTACAGGCCTTCTGGGCCTCTTGTTATACTTCTTTGGGTTTTCCACTTATTTATTTTTAATGCTACTGAACTTTACATTTCAGGCCGCAGAGGGAACAGGGTTGGCTTTCATTGTGTTTACACAAGCCATTAATGAGTTTGGCCCCTCTGCTCCATTCTGGTCCATCATCTTCTTCCTCATGCTTTTGTCCCTTGGAATCGGAAGTGAGTTTGGAACACTCGAGGGAGTAACAACTTGTATCTATGATCTTGATAGTCATCCATGGCTCAGAAAGAAATGGCTGGTCTCTGGTGCGTACGTTGTTGTGGTATACTGGCCTGATGTGTTAATATTGTCTACCTAACTCATTTCACTCTTCAGGCAGAATATTGCTGAAAACATTCATAGGTCACTGATAAGAAATATTATCAGCAGTCTTTGTGTGTGATGGTTATCATACATACATATCAGTACCCAAGCTGGAGAACTGCAGTTAACTTGCTGTGTAAGGCACTGGCTAGCTCATACACATACTTCCACATAAAGAAAAATTAAATAGAAAATGGAGATCAGTCCTATAATACCGACCACTTCCACGAATAAGTCCACTAAAAATGGTTTCACTGAAATGTAAATGTCAATCAAACGACTACCTTAGGTAGGAGTCATTTGATCAAATTTCATAAATATTATTGGCCAATAAGTAAATGGAATTCAGAGAAGGGGCATAACTCCTATTGAAATATTCAATATAAAATGCAGGTTTACATCTACCAAAGGTGACCATACTGATCATGTGTATCAAGTTCCAGAATATCGGCACAGAAGGAAAGTAACTGTACTTAGTACAAAATTTATAAACAAACTTCTGAAAAGGTTCCTAACTCCTGTTGAAATGATCCAAATAAAAATAAATCTCAAATGCACGTTTGTCTAAGACACTGAGCATAAATGTTCCAAGTAAAGTTACATGAAAATTGCTTGAGAAGGTGAGCAGCAGTGCTCAGTGTCAACAGATAAACACTGTACCTGGTATGTTCACAAATTATGGAAATGTCAATTTCAAGTAATCTTCACATGCATCTAATATCTTTACATTGAAAATATTTTGATTCATTACATCAGCATATTATATAGATAAGTTTGTAAATAATTTACCATACCATAATTTGTATACCTGTACATATGTTTACATTACAGGTGTATTATGCCTGGTGAGTTGTTTGATTGGGATGCTGTTTGTTCTGGGGAGTGGGTCTTACTGGGTTGCCCTGTTTGACTCCTACGCTGGCTCCTTCCCGTTGATCAGTGTTGCCCTGACGGAGGCAATCGCCATTGGCTGGGTTTATGGTGTCAACAGGTAAAAAAGGACTTGAAAAAGTATTTGTCAGATTTCTCAATGACGAGTGTCGTTCTAGTAAAAAACTACTGTGATTGGCTAAATCTACATTGTAAACTTATACATATTCAAAACAATTTCCTTCACCTTTCAATCAATCTCTGCTACTATTTAAAAGTAATATTCTGGTTCATAGTTTTCTGCATAATTCACAGAAGTTATATTACTGACAGAAAAAATAACAATGACATTTCAATAGTACATTTGTGATTTCCTTTTTATGTCCCCAAAATTCTTTGCCTGTTCCTTCCCGTCGCGATTCAGTGTCTTTGCTCTGACGACTTCATTTCCCTATGGACTTACGCCATTATTGTGTGTTTGTAGGTTTGGAGATGATCTGGAGACAATGATTGGTCACCAGCCCCACATTTACTGGAAGGTGGTATGGAAGTTCATCGCTCCGTTTCTGATAGCAGGACTCCTCACCTCCACCCTCATCAGCAAGTTTGTGAAACCCATCACCTACAAGGCCTACAGCAAGGACATAGTAAGTGGTTCAGTTACCACACAGATAGGTCTCAGTATACACAAAACACATTGGTAGACATACACTGGTGAGACACACAAAAGCAAACAACTAACGAGACACGAGGAAGACATGTAATGGGTAAGAAGCAAACCTTACGAACTGTCTTATAACTATTTGTCTACCTGTGTATAGACACCACCTGATGTATTTAACCATCTAGTGACCACCTGTCCATTGTGACCATCTTTCTAATAATGCTACAATTGATTTTAGTACACCTCCTGTCTTAAATGACCACCTGCCCAGAATGTTATTTTCCATGCATTTTTAATTTAAAATATATTGATACTGTGTATAGTGATTCCACAATGACTAATCCTTCAGCTTTTTAGGTCACCTGAGACAAAGTCTCAAGTGACCTATTGCGATTGCCTTTTGTCCGGGCGTCGTCCGGCGTCCGTCGTGCGTCTGTAAACAATTTACATTTTCGACTTCTTCTCCAAAACCCCTGAACCAATTTCAATGAAATTTTGCAGAAACCCTAGTCCTAAGGTGCTTTACCAAAATTGTGAATTTCATGACCCTTGGGTCTCACGTTTCCCCCTGGAGGAGGGGGGGTGGTAAACTTTACTATAGTTTATATAGGGAAACCACATTTTGGACTAACATTTGTTTAATTGCCATTGGAGGTAATTCAATTTAGGTAAGCATTATCAGTATTGGGCAGCAGTTTGATGGTATGCACATATGAGCCCTGACTGACCCCCC